CTGGATTTCCTGGATTTCCAGCTTTTATGCTCTGGTCTAGCCAGATATGTAAGGTAGACTTGGGGTCATGATAGTGGGGGTGGGGGTGGGGGGTGAGCATTAAAGAACTAGAGGAAAGTTGTATGTTTCATCAATGCTATATTACACCCTGACTGGCTCGTCTCCTCCCAGCGACCATTCTGTAAGGGGATGTCCAATTGTCTACAGATGGACTTTGTGTCTCCACTCTGCATTCCCCCTCATTCACAATATGATGTTTTGTTCTGGGTCTTTGATACCTGACCCTACTGACACCTCGTGATCACACAAGCTGGTGTGCTTCTTCCATGCAGGCTTTATTGTTTCTCAGCTAGATGGCTGCTTCTTTATCTTCAAGCCTTTAAGACTCCAGACGCTGTATCTTTTGATAGCCAGGCACCATCAGCTTTCTTCACCACATTTGCTTATGCATCCACTTGTCTTCAGCAATTGTGTCGGGAACGTGAGCATCATGGAATACCAGGTTATTAGAACAAAGTGTTCTTGTATTGAGGGAGTACTTGAATAGAGGCCCTATGTTCATCTGCTACCTTAATACTAAACCTATAACTATATGTATATAGATCGATATTAAGATTTCATAATGTATGACTAAATACTTGAGAAGATATTGATTAAAATGATCCTGAAACGTTTTTCAGCCTCAAAGAATGTTTTTGTGATCCAAATTACTTTACCCTTTAATTTTAACTTTTTATGTGAGTTTTAAGCATCAATGTTTGACAATTTGTTTAATAATGTAAACTCTACAAAAAAAAAAAACCCCAAGTTTCCATCTAGTAATTAGTACATGACCTCTTTTTTTCGTGACAATTCATGTTCCTTTAGAAAACAACAAAATCACTGCCATCTACTTAGATATTAGCTAATTAAAGACATTTAAATGTCACCTTCTGTTTATAATAACTTTAAATCTAAAAATACTGTAGTAATGGTGTGTTAGACAGGGTTCTTGAGAGAGATAAAACCAAATTGCTGATAATTTAATATATTTATTTATAAAGATAATTAGATATATAACAAGAAATGAACTGTTAAATCATATACAGATAAATACACAATACAAGAAATAAACAGTTAAATTACAAAGCACTACAAATGGCTCAGTGCAACTCACGTCGTGAAAGAAAGTTGAGAGACTAGCAGTCCTTCAAGTCTAGTCTGCTGCCAGATCTTCCTCTATTTGTAGAGAGAGCTAGGCTATGTCAGCACAGCATCCAATCACAAGGCAGGTCACCAACCACCAGTCCCCAGCTCCAGAGAAGTCTTAAAGGGACCTCAACTTACAACAACACAGTCCACAGGCTAGGCGTCCCACAGCTGTGTAGCCTTTAAATTGAGGCACAGAACAAGCAAGGCAGCCGCACACTGGTCCAATGATCACAGAGCGAGAGACAAGAAAGGCAAGGCTCACCAAGCCATCCATCTCTCCGCCCCTCAGTCAATCCCACTTGTGTTTACCAGCCAGGCTGGCACAATAAACTATCTCAAATGGGTTCAATTATTAATCAAGTAAGATTGGAAATTGTCTGAGGAATTGTACAAAAACAGTGCTACAACATGTATCAATAAAAATAGTTTGAAGCAAAAGGTCAGTTAATTATGAAGCACGTAAAGACCCAGAGAGATAGAACACTTGTACAGATAGAATAAAATTCATGGGCTGCTGGCCATCACTCTATAATTATACAGCAGCTACTAATTCTTCTAAGCGGTGAGAAGTAGTAATTTGTACTAGATTATCATATCATGGCCCACGAAACTCAACACAACACCCTGCCCTTAGGATGAAGCTCAGCTCTCAAAGACATAAATATTTGCACTTTTGTGCCCATTCCCAGGCCCTGGAATAAGCCATTATAGATTGCTAGGTATATGTTTAATTCCTTTGATTTAACTAAGCAAAGTTTAGGGTGGTTATTAAAGTGGCTAAGAGATCTCTGGAGAGAATGTTTAAACACAGTATCCCAGATATTCAGGCTCTGATGACCTAGATTTGGATCTGACTTTTAAATATATATATTCTATACGTAGTTAGGGAACAGAGACAGGGCACCTAATAGTTATATCACTCAATACATTTTCCCAATATGTAGTAGCTCATTCAAAGAAATCGACATACCTTCCAAAGAAAAGACTTAGTTAATCCACTAGTTGTAATTCTTCTGTGACGGTCGTGACAAGAGAGAAGCCATCATAAAAAACTGGAAAACCAAACTCACTACCATAGACTAGATGCCAGCTCATAGTGACCCTATAGCACAGGATAGAACTGCCCCTGTGAGGTTCCCAGACTAAAACTTTATGGGAGCAGAGTCTCATCTTTCTCCTGCAGAGTGGCTGGTGGCTTTGAACTGCTGACCTTTCTGATCAGAATAACGAGGAATCAGTACACCACCGGGGCTCCCGAAGCTATCAGAAAGCCAGATAATGTAACCATTGAAGCAGAAGGTAGTCATCCCTGATGAAAGAATTAGAATCAACTGGAAGCCACTCACCTCAGTCCTCCAGCCAGCACATCCGTAACAAACACAGTCACCCTAAGACGGTGATGTGTGAAAATCACAGAATGAGCTCAACATCTGTGTGGTGCATGAGTATTTCAACCCATGCCCGTTATTGGGTGTTATTTGTATCATGCTAATTTCTGAGTTGTAAGTGGTTAGTTTTTCTGACAATAATTACATGACTTTTAAACTGCCCTAATTATTTTAAGGCTTATTAAAAAGACTGTGATTCATGAAATTCATTACATATCTTGATTCCTATTGGTCTTTCAACAGATACCAAAGGACTGCTTTACAGTAGTTCTCAACCTTCCTAATGCCGCGACCCTTTAATACAGTTCCTCATGCTGTGGTGACCCCCAACTATAAAATTATTTTCCTTGCTACTGCAGTAGAAGTATTTCATTGCTAGTACAGTAGCTATAGTTTTGCTACTGTTATGAATCAGGAGACCCCTGTGAAAGGGTCGTTCGACCCCCAAAGGGGTCATAACCCACAGGTTGAGAACCACTGACTTAGGAGGTATTTATTCTTTCTTTAACATCTTATTGGGGGCTCTTAGAGCTCTTATAACAATCCATACATTCATTGTGTCAAGCACATTTGCACATAAGTTGCCATCATCCTTTTCAAAACATTTTTGTTCTACTTGAGCCTTTTTTCCCCTCCCTTTCCCACCCTCCCAACTTTGTGAACCCTTGATAAATTATCAATTATTATTTTCATATTTTACACCTTCCTCTATCTCCCTTCACCCATGTTTCTACTGTTCGTCCCCCTGGGTGGGGGGTTTATATGTTGATCATTAGAAGGTCCCCCATTTCTCCCCCCACCTTCCCCCTATCCACATGGTATCACTACTCCCATTTTTGTTCCTGAGGGATTGATCTGTCCTGGATTCCGTGTATTGAGGGCTCTTATATGTACCAATGTACATGCTCTGGTCTAACCGGATTTGTACGGAAGAACTGGGGTCATGATAGTGGGGGTGTATTGGGGGGAAGGGGGGAGGGAGCAGTAGAGAACTGCAGAAATGGTGTGTGTTTTGTTGATGCTATACTGCACCCTGGCTGGCTCATCCCTTCCTTACGACCCTTCTGTGAGGGGGAGGTATTTATTCTTATGGCCCTAAACCCCTGCGTTCATGTAACCTAGTAGAGAACCTGATAGCCATACAATAACATAGAAGAAAAAATGGCTAGACTATTGCAATAAAAGTCTGTGCCTCACTCTATGTATTACTCAAGATCTCCATAGCCTTCCCCTTCTTTTACCAGCCACCCACACTCAATTTCCACTCATCTGTTACCCCTCAAGATCACCCACTCCTCAGGGCTCAGCTACCTCATAGAGAGAAAGACAGGCAGAACGTTCATATAGTCTTAGCCTCTCCAGGCACCTACGAGTCCATGCCTTCGTTAGCAAGTATGTCCATTCAATCTATTACCTACTAAGAGTTCTTCAGGCCTTCTTGTTTAAACTTTCAAATACCTTCCCTTACTCCCATTGTGAACTTCAACCTTTAACAGTTTCTACTGTCCCTCCCTCTCTCCAGTCCCGTTCTTTGCCAAATAATAATCCCCAACCTCAGGAGACCAACTCTTCCTCCCTAACTTTCCAGAACCATATCTATATCTACTCCTACCACGAAGAAGTGCCACCTGCAAAGGAGGTGTAGCACTGGTAACTTAGGAAATCAAGGTCAGTCTCGCTCACGGAAAGGCAGACAGCCTTGCTCATCCAGTTACTCATTTATGGTATTGTAGGTGTGACAGAGTTGAGTAGTTATGACAGAGATGATTAGATAGTCGACTACACCTAAAATATTAACAATCTGATCCTTTACAGAAAATGTTTGCTCAATCCTAAATTCCATAAATCAGAAGGAAAGAGTCATTAAAGATACTCTTTAGGGCTACCTCAAACGACATGACAAATGTTTCACTCAAAAATAGACGATGATAACATTCCCACCAAAGTTCCCAGACAGAATCAATAGGCACCTCAGTTCCAATGAAGGTAGGACGAATATACAGGCTGGCAGATGTTGAATACGGCACCCATTCCTGATCCAGGGTCACAAGTTGCTGAATACACTTTAAAAGCTCTTCTTTGTCAAATACCTGAAAAAAAGGAAAAATATAGTTAATGATGACATCTTCTCCTATAAGCAGTAAGAAATGATCCTTGTAGAAGCTGTAGGACTTTTTTGGGTAATATTAAGAGAAGCCAAATCACGTTTTTCTATGAGCATTTTTGGTAAATTTTTACTTCACAATGTAAATAGGTATAAGCACACAATGTTCGTTGCAGCACGAGTCACCAAAAAGCAAAATGCAGAAACAACCTACCTGTATGTCAGTAGCTGAAGGGACCAACAATGGGAGGGATGCGTGCAATGCAATATTACTCAGCCATAAAAGGAGTGCAGTACTGATGCATACTACAACAGAGATGAACTTCAAAAGCATGCGGAGTGAAACAGGCCCGTCACAAAAGGACAAACACTATACGGTATCACATATATGAAATACCAAGAATAGGCAGTGTATAGAAATCAAAGCTCACGAGTGGTTGCAGGGACTGAGAGCTTGGGTCCCTGTTTAGAAAACACTGGGTTTCTCTTAGTGAGGATGGGACAACACACACTGACGATGTTGGCACACCACGGGAATGGAGGGTCCATCCCTTGGTATCCACTGTGAATTGGTTCCAGGACACCCCAGCCTATACCCAAATCCTCAGATCCTCAAGTACCTTATAGAATACAGTACAGTATTCACATGTAACCTATGTGTATCCTCCTATAAACATAACTCATCTCTAGATTTCAACCCAACTCACTGCCATCAAGTCAAACATGACTCATTACAACTCTATGTAGGGTTTCTAAAGTTCACAATTTTGCCAGGGCAGATAGCCGCCTCTTTCTGCCATTGAGCAACTGTTGGATTTGAAGCACCAACCTTGCAGTTAACAGTCCAACTGGCATTGTTAATGTATACCATTTAAATACCACTTTATACTTTCGTTTGAGAGATTGCTCTGACCACTTAGTTGGTCCCCTACCACCCTGAAGATACTTTCTTGAATCTGCAGATAGGGAACTCAAGGATACAGGGGGTCAATTGTGATTAGTGTCACTAAACTATACAGATGAGAAATGTTGAATTGGTGAATGCTGTCACAAATAAGAACCCTGGTGGTGCTGTGGGCAAAGTATTGGCCTGATAACCACAAAGACAGCAGTGCAAATCCACAAGTCAATCTTTAGGGGAAAACTGAGGCTGTTCCTGTAAAGATTTGCCACCACCTTGGAACAGCTATCGAGGGTCCTAGAGTTGGAAACAACTCGATGTCAGCGCGTTGGTTGGTTTGGGGAGTTACACAAAAAAGTGCTAGGACAATGGAGTATGAATATGCAAACGAAGTTTATTCCCTACTTCTTATAAAATATAAAGATCAGTTGGATTTGGATTAAATACTTTAGTGTGATAAACTATTATGATATTTATAAACGCTAATGAATGCAAAACTGATGATCTGTTCTGAAACCTTCATCTCATTCACAATTAAAAAGTTTAAAAATAATTATGATAAGAACATTAAAATACCTTTTCATCTTTAAAGCAGTGAAAGATTTTTTCTTTCTGTTTTGGTCTTTCACAAAATAAAATGTGTTGTCTTATACTTCAGGAAGCCAGAAGTCTACAGTCCAAATTCAGGAGAACGGTCCTTGTCCCTTCAGCTTCGACTCACTGATTACTGATGAGTTTGATCCCCATCCCTGCCCCGCTCATCTCGGCCCACACATTTCTATTTGACTTTAATCTCAAAACACACCCTACACTGACCTTTCCCAATTAACAAGGACAATACACTTGCAAATGGCACTCAAACAGCAAGTATAGCTATAGACACTCAAACTCACTGCCAGCGATCCTACTCATGGTGACCCTCCAAGAGGATAGGACAGAACTGTCCCCGTGAGTTTCCAACGCTGCCCTTCGTTATGGCAGTAGAAAGCCACCGCTTTGTCTTGAGGAGAGGCTGGTGAGTTCAGATGGCCTAACTCATAACCCATCCACCGTCAGCTCCTGCAGCGACAGAGAGGTGAATTTCTACAGCACCGATTGCGGAGGCACATCATTCCGTCCATGGCAACCCATGTTCCCTTGTACGCTTTCTTTTATCTTTTTAAACTTTTTTATTGTGAATTGGGTGAAGGTTTACACAACATATCAGCTTTCCATTCAACAATTCATTTACATTTTGTTTCATCTCATTGATTGAAATCCTCTTAATGTAACATCGCTTGTGCCACTTTCCCTGTGTTTACCCTTTTACCTCTCCTCCTCCTTTTATAATTCTCTTTGTCCTTGACTGATTAGAGGCTGCCCTCCTAATCTCCAATGGTTGATGATTCTCAGCCATGTGTGCCTCCCTTGTGTTCTTGTTCCCTTTATAGACCCGTCTTTAGCTAAACATTGAGCACAGAGGAGTTCAGACCTGGAGTGACTAAGAGCCATAGACTTGGGGTTCTCTCAGTCTTGCTCTGGTCAGTAAATGTTATCTTTTGTATGAAGGAAATTTAAAAAAAAAATAAAACTCATAAAGCACAACTTATAGAGAAAGAAAAAATTGATAAAATTTAACTGTAAACGTCTATTTAAAGATTCTGTTCTTCAAAAAACGTAAGAATAATATTTTTAGCCCATAGCCAACAAAGGATGCTAATCAGAAAGCCAAAGGTATCCAAAAATCAAAAGACACTGATCACAGGAAAACGGGCAAAAGCAAATGAGAGTAAGAAAAAAATAAAACAAAGCAAAATGGTTTTCATACACTAGAGGGTGACCGTTTGTAAAATGGCTTAAGTAGTTTTATTCATGTGAGAAAGCAGAAATGTAACGAGTTATGCACGGTAGAACTGACGTGGAAACAAGTGTCTGACTAGGACTAGGGACATTAGGAATTGCCTAAAAACCTTTAACAGCTACCAGGGAAGTCATGCTACAGAAAGTGGGGCTGCCGCACACACGGGCCAGGCCATCACTTGCTGGGTCCTCTGCCACCTAGAGAAATGGTTTAGTGGAAACACAAACAGAATCAAAAGACTTGGGTGCCATTTCTGGCCCTGTCACTTAACCTTGTGCAATTTGACGCAAGTCATTTACTCTCTGGGCTCGAGTTTTAGTCTCTGTACAAAGACGTATCTTTTTGACAATGTCCCATTGCTATGCTAAAATAGGCCAGGAATATGACACCAAATTTTAATCCGTTTACTTCTCAAAGACTCTGACTCCAAATACACCCTACACTAATCCTGTTTCAGTTACATAATAAATGAGATTCCGCATTAACAGAGCTTGTGTCCAATATGGGTTCCTTCCCTGTCCTCTGGCCTGGTTTTCCACTTCTTGGCAGAGATCTGTCTATAATGATTAAGAGCGAAGCTAGAACCTAGTCCACATAACTTACCCTCCTTTCCCCTGTTACTATATTACAACCTCTCGAAGAAGTGGGTGACGCCTGGCTTACAAAATGAAGCGGAAGAAGGAAAAAGCTAGGGGAGACGAGGGACCTCAGGGTTCCACCACGCTGAGCGACAGCTGGGTTCCTGAAGGCCAACTACATGGACACAAAAGAAAAGACTTCTTTAGTTCAGAAAGCTAGCCTACGGTGGCTCAGGGACTGGAGGCAGATAACGCCAACCGCAGGGTGCATATCTAATTAAGTTCATAGTGAATTCTGCCAAACAATATTACCAACAGATCTAGTGACCATGAGAAAGCATTTTAATATCTGGTTTGGGGATAAACTATAAAAATAATTAGTCCAATCACTATCACACACTGTCATTGAGTCAATTCCAACTCATCGATGAGTCAGACCACTAGACATTTGTTGTTCTCAAATGATGGCAAAATAGTCCCCATATCTGTGCCATACCCTCTACAATCTACTTTCAACATGATAACTCTATGTGGTCTTTAAATCAAAATTATTGTAGCTTAAGACATTTTTTCCTTACCCTATTATCTCCCACATGTATATTAATCTAGTAGACACTCATTAAAGTAAATCATTGTAGAATTAGCCCAATTTTTACCTCACTAATTACAAAGTAAAAATAAAACCAAAAAATACTGCCATGGACTATTCATATGCCAAATATGCCAACTCATTAGCAACCTTATAGGACAGAGTAGAATTGCCCCTGTGAGTTTCTGAGGCTTTTAATCTTTATAGGAGTGGACAGCCTTATCTTTCTTCCATGGAGAATCTGGTGGATTTGAACCAATCACCTTGTAGTTAGCACAGTGTAGCCCACAGTGTCATAAGGGCTGCTGATAAATTTCCTGAATTATAAAGTAGACCAGAAACAAATGGCTTGTATTGAATGCTGTCCTAAGTGTTTAGAAATGATTTCTTTAGTATAAACTCAGTTACCCAAGGCATTCAAAGAAATCCCAAAAATTACATACCGGCAAAGTAGCCCTCAGAGCAGATCGGTACATTCTATCCATATTGAGATTTGGTCGAAACAGTCGGATTTTATTATCTACTCCCCGAAATGCTTTCAATCCTTCAAATAACTGAAGATAAAAGAGAAACAAATCTTAGGAGAATAATGACATAAAATAACATAAAAATAACTGAAGACAAGAGAGATACTTAAGAGAATAATGACATAAAAATAATCTGTATTCAAAAGGGTGATTTTTCTAGGAGTGCTCATTTCCTTTATCATGTAAGACTCAACTTCCTGTTGGTTCAAAGTGACCTCAAAATAGAGTCCATTGAGTAGGTTCTAGGCATGTGTCAGAGTGAAGCTATGCCCCATAGAATTTTCAATGGCTGGTTTGTTGTTTTGTTCTGTCTCCAGAAGTAAATCACCAAGTCTGGGTGAGTAAAATTGCTGAAGTTTGGCTCTTCTGCTCATTTGTCTTTAACTCCCACGCAATGATTGGAGAGCCATGCAAATGAGGAGGAAAGAACTTTGAGGAGTGGTCAGTTTCGCCATTCCTCTGGTCATAAGAATGAGAGATTTCCGAAGCAGGAAGAGAGAATTCCCAAGACCATAAAGGAAGAAGAGCCACCAGCAATGCACATTCAAACTCCCTGCCTCCAGGGAGGCACCAGAAGCCGTGCCCCACAGAAGCCAAAGGCTGAAGCTCAAAGACCCGGAGACAGAACAGAGGGGCAGTGCTGAGACTCTGAGATGGGGAGACAGAACCTCAGAAGGGCTTCCTGGCCCACAGAGGCAGAGGCCACAGGGACCACTTGGCTGAGGACCAGAGAGAGATTTGGCTGCTCGATTAGGAGAGGAGTTGCTGTGGACCAATGTCTATCTTTAGGTTTTCTGATACAGGTTTATAGTAGTGTCCTGTTAAACCCTCATAATTTTGAGAGTTCTCTCTGAGTTGTGTGTGGCCATTAAAATGAATTATTGAACCCCGCATAAAAGTCGAATTTTGTGGAAGGAACAGTTGGTGTCACAATAGGATAAAGAAAGATGGAATGTCTGATCTCTGCCTTGTGGAAATTGGCCTACAGCTGGGAAGGAGTCGCAGTGTCTCTCCCAACAGAAACCAAACCATTTTCTCACCAGATTTTCTTTCAAGGGGACTCTGAGCAGACTTAAATCTCCATGATTTCTGTTAGCTGTCAAGTGTGTTAACGTTTATACCACCCATGGACTCTGACCTTAATTATTTTTATTCATATTGTGTCAACAGGATATCTTCTGACCTCAACTTGTTGTTGCTGTTAGGTGTCATCAAGTGAGTTCTGACCCATAGCGACCCTCTATGCACAACAGAATGAAACCCTGCATGACCCTGCACCAATGCCTGAGGCCACTGGTGTAACCACCTGTCAATCCATCTCATTGAGGGCCTTCCTCTTTTTCGCTACTCCTCCACTTTACCAAAGATGATGTCCTTCTCTAGGGGCTGGTCTTTCCTGACATGTCCAAAATATGTAAGACAGAGGCTTGCCATCCTTGCCTTAAGGAGCCCTCAGGTTGTACTGCTTCCAAGAGAGTATTGTTTGTCCTTTTAGCAGTATTCTTCTGTTCTTTTCCAGCAACACAATTCAAATGCATTGATTTTTCTTCAGTCTTTCTTATTCAATGTCCAACTTTCATATGTATATCCCTAAATCTACATATAGATGATTTTATATAATACACTTTACTCTGAATCTGGCTTGAATTGCTGGCAATTCCCTGTTGGTCTACTGTTGTAACCATCTTTGGAGTATCTTCAGCAAAATGTTACATGCATGTGATATCAACAACATTGTTCACTATTTCCTGTCGTTTGGTCACTGGTTTGTTTTTTTGGAATGGGCACAACTATGAATCTCTTCTATTCCAGTTGACCAGGTAACGATAGTAAGTCTTCCAGGGTTGCATCACTTGGCTGCACATTTCAATTGGCATTCCATCCATTCTTGGTGGTGCTGTCAGGTAGGATTGGACTACTACCCAACCGCATGATCAGTGAGTCAAACCCACCAGCCGCTATCTGCTCCCACAAAGATTTATAGTCTTGGTTACTATGAGTCAGAACCAACTTGATGCAGGAAGTTTGGGCTTTGTTTTGTTTTGTTGACAATTGCCTTCAATGCAGGTTGGATTTGTTTCTTGATCAGATGGGACTTCCTGAAATGTTTGAATGCCAACCAATCCCTTTTGACAGCTCTACTTCTTTCATCTTCTTTTCATGCTTCCTGCATTAGTCAATATTTTGCTCACCGAATCCTTGAACATTGCAAATCAATGCTTGAATCTTTTGTTCAGTTCTTCAACTGGCGATATGCTCTGTTTCCCCTTTGTTTTAAACTCCAGTTCGTTGTATATTTCATTAAAATACATTATGTTCTTGCGCTGCTTTTAAATTTTCTGTTCAGTTCTACTTCATTGATCCAATTCACTTTAGCTACTCTAAGTTCAAGAGTATGTTTCAGAATTTCTTCACATTTTTTGTCTTTTCTTTCTTGCTGTCTTTCAATAACATTTGCTTTCTTCCTTGATGTCATCTCATAACTCATGTAGTCTTTGATCATTAGTTCAATGCATCCACTTGTATTCCTGAGACAGACTCTAAATTCAGGCGGGATATGCTCAGGTTATAATTTTGCTCTTGTGGATTGGTTTGAACATCCTTTAGCTTCAGCTTGAACCTAAGAATCCCTAGAGTCCTATGGGACAAGCATTAGGCTGCTAACCAGAAGGCCAGTAGTTCAAGTCCAACCACAAAGATTTATGGTTTCAGAAACCCTATATAGGATTGCTATCAGTCAAAATCAACTTGATGGCAGTAGGTTCAACTTGAACTTGCATATAATACATCTATTCTATAGTCAACCCAGTCTAGTTCTCAATTGTTTTTCATCTCTGGATTCTTACTATGAAGACCTTAAAGAATTTATTTTGATGTGATATGTATAGACTGATTTCATAGTAAAGAGAAGTGTGAAATTTAAAATATTTTATAATAAAACATGATTAACGCAAAGAACATTTCAATTAAAATAGCTGTATTCTCCAAAAGAATTTGTGAAAAGTGTGATCTCATTTTAAATTATGGAAAATCTTTTATTTTTAAGAAAACAATTGGATTCTCAAATCTGCTTCTGTATTCAATGTCCAGCAATTAGGTTTTGCTTGAAGTATAGTAAGAAAGCCCACTTTCATAAAGAATGTAGAAAAAGAGAGAAGTAAATTTTGATAGCCTTTTCAGATAACTGTGAATATTTTTCTGATACTACCCTGAAACTTCAGGAGTGGTGGTTTCTTAAAGAGCAGTTAACTATGGAACCTGCAAGCACGTCAATGAAGTTTCCATACTGGTCATTTACAGTCCATTGGTTTATGTTATCGGTTAAGGGTCAACCAGAGAAGTAGAGCTAGGAGGAGATATGTGTAATATGAATGGCTTTTTTTTTTTTTTTTTTTAAACATTTTATTAGGGGCTCATACAACTGTTATCCCAATCCATACACACATCAATTGTGTAAAGCGTATTTGTACATCATTTCTCAAAACATTTTCTCTCCATTTAAATCCCCGACATTAGGTCCTCATTTTCCCCCTCCCTCCCCGCTCCTCCCTCCCACATGAGCCCTTGATAGTTTATAAATGAGTATTTTGTCATATCTTGCCCTGTCCGACTTCTCCCTTCATCCACTTTTCGGTTGTCTGTCCCCCAGGGAGGAGGTCACACACAGTTCCATGTAATCGGTTCCCTCTTTCCTACCCATGAATGGCTTTATTACAAAGAATTAGCTAATACATTGGTTGGGTAGCCAAGGAAGTCTAAAGTTGAGGAGGGCAGGCAGTCAAGAAGAGAAAATCCTGGGCATGCTTGAGGTCCTCCGGGGTGAGTGGAATGCCCATGGATGGACATCAAGATAAGAAGAGATGGGAAAGTGCAATTTGAAATCTTTTACTTATGAGTCAGAATCAACTTAATGGCACTGAGTTCATCTGGGTTTTTTGTATGTTGGGACTTAGCTCAGCAAGTCCTAATGTGAGGCTCACTCAAGATAATCTGTCTTTGATTTAACTTTAAATCTGGGTTTTTAATCACCTCTGAATTACTTCACAGCATCACCTCTATTAGATTTAGAGTAGCTGAGAGAAAGCATGAGTAGACAACAAACTGGCGGCTGCCTCCTTGCCATGCTCCAAGTCTCACAGGCAAGTAGCCCTTCTAACTGGCAGGAGATTAAAAACAGAAATCTGGTGCAACCCGGTTCAGCCTAGTTCAGACAGTCGAATTCAGACTAGCCAAAACAAAACATGAAAAAAAATCACAGGCAACATATGTACAAACATGCTTGATACAACAACCGATGTATGGAGTGTTATAAGAGCTGTAAGAGCCCCCCAAAAAATGATCTTTTAAAAAGTCCTCAGAGTCCACTTTACACTCTGTGGGGATCTTCCTCCTATGCATAAATTTGTAGTGTCAAGCAATGGTCATTTAGAAAATGCTGGGTCACTGAGTTATGCAGATTTTCCTAATGTTAATACTCCTTTTTACATTATAAAAACAAATAAAATTTGTTGTGTTAATAGCATCACAAATATCATAAACGTATTCAGTATTGAAAAGTTGCAAAGTTCATGGGCATGAATACAAGCTCTCCAAAATTCTAATTCTCCCTTGAAGGTTAGAATTTTATCATTGACAAGGTTAACTGCTCTATCATTAGGCATTTTTCTACAGGCATAAATTAGCTTATTTCATCTTTACAATAAAAATAGTAGATATTACCACTACCCTAACTTGATAAAGAAACTTAGCGTGAAGCAACTGAGGCACAAAATGATTCAATCCATTTCCCAGGTCACAGAGCTCCCTGTTGTGAGTTACTGTCAAGTAGATTTTGACTCATGGTGCGTCCCAAGTGCGTTGGAGGAGATGAGGCTCCCCAAGGTTTACAAAGGAAATCGTCAGGCCCATCTCCCAAGACCCTTCTGGGTCGTCTGAACCACTGACGTTTCAGCTAACAGCTGAGTGCTCAATCGTTGTGCCACCCAGGGAAGCTGCAAAGCTCCTTAGGGAGGGATAAAGACAGATTGGAATTTCAGAAGTTTGACTCAGGCCTGCATCCCTAACCATACGCCTTCTCACTTAAGCAAACCAAATTAGAAGATCCATATAAAGTGTATTGTACAATGCATACAACAGGAATTCAATAGACAACAGTAGTTATCATTTTATCAGTATCATCATGAATATTTATTATTACTATATTTTAATCCCTTGATAGGTAGGTCACTGTTTATTTCCAATGCCCTTAATATTCTGTACAACACATTGAAAAGGAGTAGGATAAAATGAGTGTCAAGGAGTAGGGAGTACACTGTCCATCTGGCTACTGCTATCCTGAGACGGATGAAGGGAAGAATTGACCTCTAAGTATTTTATGCTTATAATTAGTTCAAATCAAGCCTGAAAGAGGACATTTAATTACGTATCCCTTAACACGCACAACTACACATTACTGCTGGTCATAAAAACATGCAGTTGGCATTAAAAGCTAACCCCAACATTGTACTAAATGGCCCCTTCTCCATCAGGATAAGACCTGAGGAGTGGCTTCGTAAAACACCGGCTTATGATTGCTAAATGTTCTCCCAGCTGTTCTCATTTCTTCTAAATGTCTTTGCTAATTGACATTATAGGAAATTCAAGATTATCTTTAAAATTAGTTTAAGTCATTTGTGCAATTCTACTTTAATAGGACAAAGAAACTGTGAAGACACGAATGCTTTCCCTTTAGGAGCCCGAGTGGCACAAACAGTTAACCATTCCCCTGCTAACAGAAAGGTGGGCAGCTCCAAGGAGCAAAAGATCCGGCAGTGTGCGTCCATATTGACCTTCGTCAAGGAAACCTTCTTTTCGGGACAGGGCTATTCTGTCAACATTGACTCCCCGGCACCTCAGGAAGTAGTAGTACAATTTCCTCACGTAAATATCGCAAACGCCATACCGCTCAACAACCATTTTGGCAGGTGGGAAGGGAAGGATAGGAAGGAAGTGTGCGATCACAGCCATCACGTCCCACGCACGGCCTTCCATCCGTGTACTTACTTCCAAGGCGTAGTGGAAGACTGACGAGCTGGGATGCAGGGACAGGTTCTCGAGAGGTTTGATCTGAGGTTTCTCCCAGCCAAATTCTGCAGACCATTCCACTGTCAGCATGTGATCCGTGAAAACCGTGCCAAAAACCAGATTATCTGGATCTGGTTTTGCTTTTAACACGGTGGCTGGTGTGACTATGAGATCTGTAGCCTGGAGAATAAAAATCAGCGTCATCAAAGAAAAGGAACAGAATGAACCTCCCTCCACGGGCTGGCTGACTCACGGGGTAACACACCAACAGCAACGTCCTTTGCTATGAAACAATGGAATCCCTTGGCTTGAGAATGAATTCCAATATTTATCGACACGATGTGAACCCAACAAAGTAGGCTTGCATCATGTTAAGTCTTGGCAGTAACACTGCATATCTGAATATGAGACTCGAAATTAAGTAGCATTTCCAAATAGGGACAAAATTGCAGATGTGGTAAAATGATACATAAATCGAACACACATCCCTGCCATCACTAGATTTAAGTTGGGCCTTTGGGAAGGAAAGGGTGACCTCCTTTTTCTTTTTTTTTTAATTGACAATGTCATGTTCAATAAATGTCACTAAGAATAAAACCTCTACTTGCTGGAGGTTGTTGCTCCAAGCCACAATCAGAGGATTCTGATCTGAGTCTTCAAAACTCTACGTGTGCACTGTGGGAGACCAGAGACACGGGGCAGCAGAAACAGGGAGTTATTGTTCATGGGTACCGAGTGTCTATTTAGGGATGATGGAACTATTTTGGAAATTGATAGTACTGATGGTCACACAACACTGCTAATATAATAAATGTCACTGGATTGTACATTTAAACATGGTTCATGTGGAAATTTTAATATTATGTATTTTACCATACAATTTCTTTTTTAATCCTATGGATATACTACAGAAGACATGAGGAGTAAAGCCAATGTTTTCCTCGTTGAAAACAGAGAGGTGGAGAATCGACAGTAAGTGGCT